TGTAGATTCAACCAATGGTAGCCACAGGTTACTCACCTGTAATTTGGAATCCGTGTTTAGTGAAGATTTAATTGTGTTAATATAAAATGATTCTTTAACTTTTCTTGTCTTCCAAAATTTGTCTATGTTGATGATTCTAGTTTTATCCCAGTTTATTTTGTGTCCAGTTGACATGGCGTGTTTTGCAATGGCTTAATTGGGTGTTTTCTTGAGTCTTGTACTGCCTTTGTGTTCTTTTATTCTTGTCGCGAATCTTCTTCCTGTTTCTCCAATGTATGTTTCGTTTTGTGTGGGACCCGGCATGGCCAGGTGGTTAGGGTACTCGACTCGCAATCTGAGGGTTGCGGGTTTGAATCCCCGTCCCACCAAACATGCTTGCCTTTTCGGCCATGATGGTCAATCTCACTATTCGTTGGTAAAAGAGTAGTCCAAGAGTTGGCAGTGGGTGGTGATGACTAGCTGCCTTCCCTCTAGTCTTATGCTGCTCAATTAGGGATGGCTAGCGCAGATAGCCCTCATGTAGCTTTGTGCGAAATTCAAAAAAACAAAACGTTTCGTTACAGGAACACGGAATTTCATAAATTACTTTTTTGTGTTTCTCATTGGTAGGTTGCTGTTTGTTTTTTACCAGAATGGGCCTTAATGCCTTGTACGATTTCCACTGGATTATTTTGAATTTCTTGGATATGCATTTGAGTTTTTCACTGAAATTTTGCAGGTAGGGGAAGTAAATGGTAGTAGTGGTAGGGTTTTTCTGATCTTTTCTTTCTGTTGTGTCCTTCTACAGGGAATTTTTGATGAAGGAGGAGGAGTAACCATTCTGTTTAAAACCCTCTATGATTTTTTTTGCATTCTGTTTTGATGGATGTCTTATCGCAAATGTTTTCTGCTCTCTTGTTTAGGCATTATATTGAGGTTGGATGATAGGACAGGATGTGTAGGTATCTGTTTGTGTGGGTGCATTTTGTGTATACAGTTGCAGTGATTTTTCTCTCTTGTCCGCTGATGAGTATGTCAAGAGTTGGTAGGCTGTTTTGTTCCTCTATTTCAATGAGGAAGTGGATTCTTTTGTCTACAGAATAAAGATGTTCTGAGAAAGCTGGTAAGTTTTCATAACCGTGGGGCCAAATAATGAAGGTGTCGTCAACATGATGTTTGTAGAGGTGGGTAACTTGTGGCTACCATTTGTTGAATCTACAGGAAATCTCTCCTCTAATCAGAAACAGGGATAAACCAACCAATCATAACATGCTCTCCACAATCCACCAGAATAGTTTAAAGACTGACAACACCATACACTCACGTCATCCTCTACACTTGTGTCTCTACAAGAGGCAGTTGCTGTCCATTCAACAAAGTTTCATCATGAATACTAAACAATCTATCAAAGAATACTGAAAGACCTTCTTGACAACTATGAGTTGTCTACTATCAATGTAGATAGATAGTAGACTCACGCTGATTTCTCCAAGCCCGTTCCCTTGGCTGTGTTTCGCTAGATAGTAGATACTCATAGACAACTCATACTAGATAGTTCATACAGGACATGGCTACCACAGGTAAAGATGACAATGCACAGAAAGCAAGGGGCTGCAAAAGTGAGTTGAAACAGTGCAAATAAATGGTGACATTGATGAGCTGTTCTCATCAGCTGAATTTTACCTGAAAGAGAGATTAATAATAGTCCCAAATAGATGAAGAAATTAAGAAGAAAATTAATATCCTGGAAGAATGGTTGGACTTGAAAATGTACATCACTGGATCTGTTATAGATACATATGAAAGCATCTTGGTTAATGAGAATGCTAAGTGTTTAAGATGTATTTTACCCCTAGTAAATATTATGTTGAAGACAATTTCTCATTAATGGCAGAATGTGATAGTGGGTTTAGTCAACTTAATAACATTAAGACTGGGCCAAGGATATTTCTAAATTAAGAAACTTTGCTCTGTTAAGAAATAAATGGGCCTACACTAGAAGATTATCATCCAAAAAAAAAAAGACTGTGAAGTAGTTAAACAGTGACAAATGGACAAGAAACGCCAAGTGTCAAACGCGCTCTGGTCTAGGGGAAAGTATCAAACATATTCTAGAAAGTCTATATCTGATAAAAGTGAGTTGGAGTAAATTGTGAAAAACTGTTACCTATGGATATGAGTATGTTATATGTAGTAAAACTAAAATGCTCAAGATTGTATAAGTCTTATAACTACATTAAACAAAGACTAAGTTACGAGTAAAATAAATATATAATAAAATATTGTTGAATTCATAAAAACTGTAATAAACTGAACTGTTCAAGGTTTAATAGTTATTTACATTACTATTTGCATTAAAGTGTTCAAAATTAAGAAAAAATAAAATTTTGTTTTCCGTTACATATATTCTTTAATAAGTTTCTTAATACTTTGCTGAGTTACTTGTCCTTAAATACTTAAATACTTTTAATAATAAAAATATGTGGGATGAGTAAGCATTAAAGTAGGACAAGTGAAACTTTAGACCCAGTTGTCTTATAGGAACGAGTTGAATGAGAAAAACTTTTCAAGGCCTGTCCTGGTAACTGCGTATTTGCTATCAGACCAGGCATGGTAGAAGTAGCACTAGCATTATCACTAGTGCGAAACAACATCAGGACTTTGTTCTCCAATAAACAGATTACTGTCCATACCACTGCTGTCTTCTTTCTGGACAGAAAACTATATGTTTTGAGCATTTGTTTGATAGCCAAATTAAATGGTGCTAATACACTAGATACTTTCCTTACTACGCCACTTGTGTACAAAGTATTTGTGGTTCTCTGTCAGATGTATACTTTGATTTTTTGTTTAACATCTTCCTATTCTCTTCACGGTATCTGAAAAATAAGTTAATCTTGAGAAATGTAAATTAATATCTTGTCAAATATATTCAATAACTTTTGTTGTGGTAACATCTGAAGAAGATCAGTTTCATTATTTTGTAACTTCAGGATATTCACTGATTGTCCAACTAATAGCTGGATTAAAAATCTTGCAAGCCTTGGTGGGCCTAAAGTCAAGGGATCTGTACTGTATGTATATATTGACATCATTCCAGAAGTAGATTCTGTCATCAACTCGGGCACTTCCAACTTCAGTTTGTTTGCCCTAAATCTTCATTTGAAATTTTGAATATCTTGCTTTCTATCACTTCCAAGATTATAAGGTTAAATATGCAATTTTTGTCATTTATAAAGAAGTTCATCCATTTATTTGAGGATTTGAAACTCTATGTGTTAAAACGTAACAATTGCAGAATATTTTTTTCAATTGAACTGTACTATTTACTTTTCAATTATTTACAGTGAAACTTTGACCACAAAATTTCAAGCCAATTTAATTTCATGAACTTAAAAGGTGATATTCTAGTCTTAACTTTTTCTTACAGTTGTGACAAATGTGTTGTTTGCATACTATCACATTTGAATCTGAGTTGTATAGATTAGGATTAAGAAACTTCTATATTAATATTAACTTCCAATCATTTACAAGTAAACTTAAGCAATAATCATTTCAAATGTGTTATTGGATGATAAGTACATGTAACTGCATATTTTACAGTTCATTTCCTAACGCATTTCACTTGAATAATTTTTATGTTTAGACTCCATTTCATATGAAAGGTTAATGCTCTTCCTGGTTTGAAATCTGAGTTAATTTTCACAGGTCTACCAGTTATATTTTGAGCCTCAAAATAATTTTAATCTTTGGTTATATATAATTTTTATTCTAAATGAAGTAGATATGTATAATGGAACAGTTTGAGGCCTCACAGCAGGAGAGACTCTTGACATATTGTAATTGATTTAAACAAGCCTAAAGATGTTATTTTCTCTATTCTCATCTTGCTATTTCTATCATTAGAAGGTGATCAAAATAAGTTATATTTCAGTAAAGTTAAATAATTTTATGATAAATGCAAAGTATGCTGATTCTAGTGACAAACAAATCACTATTATAAAATGACATTATTGATATAAGATATTTATGTAATATACTCTTTAGATAATAATTTTGTAGTTGACACCACAAACGTTTTGCTTCAATGTGCAAAAGGTACATACATGAATGGCATAAAAACCTTATAAAATGTGACACCACTGCTCCCACATACCGATAATAATGAGTTTTATCTAGCAAAGTTGGCAAAGCAGTGAAAACCAACAGCTCTAATGTTCATGATGCAAATCATGTTTGTTTCATATGTTCATTTTTTTTCCACATTTCTCTTGATTTTTCTAAGATGTATGAAGATATCATTTCTTTTTTTACTAGTAAAAGTTACTGTTTAGGAGGCCTATCATTCAGTAGCAGAACTCATCAGCTGTTATTAGATTATGACAACCAAAAGTACATGAAGTACAAAATATTTTATGTTAATGTGTTAAACACTTAAAAACAGAAAAAGCATTAGAAACTAACAGGTTCAATAGTTTTGATTAAAGTCATATGTTTTTCTCACATTGTTAATACCTCAATTACAAATATCAAATAAGAGGTGTGTATAAAACCATTGTTCAAAAGAGGCCTTTTGTTCAATATCAGAACTCCATAATGTATAAATTAAGAGGAATGTGGGGGAAACACTTGAAATCAAGCATGTTTTTTATCACAAATATTGTGTTAGTTTATGATGTATTCATTTGAACAATATCACACTTTAGTTATACAGCTTAATTCACCACTTGTAATATGTATGTGTGTATGTAAGTAATCAGATGTACTAAGTTTTTATATTTTTCTCTAGTTCATAACTAGAATGTCATACTAATACAACTTACCACACTCCCCTTTTAGTAAGGGTTATGATTATTGCTCTCACATGAAACATATTTGTTAATTTAAAAATAATTAACTTTCAGAATCCTTGATAATTTGTGACAACATGGCAATTGTTACATTAGTTTTTGATTGTATGCAGAAATAATTTCAAATTAAAGGTTCAATTTATTTTCTGGATTTTTTTAACCCCTCTACAGTGTGGAATTGATCATCTCAGGATCTACACAAGAAGTTGAAGAAATACTAAACAGTTACAGTGATGGAGCTGGAGCACTAAAGCAGATGGCTACATATTGTTCCCTCCTTAAAAGGTTGGTAAGAAAACCTTAAAGTCAGATGATCTGTATCCACAACACAACTTTTATTTTCAAATATTTGCTATATGTTTGTGAAAGAAACAGCTAACTGGGTAATTTTCAAAAAATTTATCTACCATATCATAATCAAAGCTGGACAATTTGTGGAATTTGCTAATCAAACAATCGTCAGGTTCATTCATTGATTACATTCAACTAATTCTGTTGTACACGAAAATATATCATACAACAATGTGGTACAAAACCTGTAACAAGCTGAAAATACAATTAATGACATTATATCGGTTTTTCTATACTAATTTACACAAAAGTAATCTACTAAACTACTGAATTTTTGTTGAAATAGTGTCATTTTCAAACTTTTTATATAAAGTTAAACTGTATTACCCTGAAAAACTTCACATGTAAAAGAAAAATTGAATAAGTTTCTCATGAAATTAAAAATGGCACTTGTGCAAAGGTTTAATAAAAACTAAACACTCCATAAGGATAAAGTATATTGCAGAATAAAACTTTATTAACATGAGGAAATCCTCAATAGCCATGGCACTTGAAATTCTTTTAGACAGGATCAGAGTAGATTAATCTGTGAGACCTTTTTAAGCTGTGGCATAGTGGTTCATAGTATGGCTCAGAATTTTTTTTTTTGAAGTACAAACTTTTAGCTCATAGCTCTGTCACTTCTTGACTGCTTTGAGGTATAATTACAGTTTAGGTCTCAGAAAATCAAACTCTTTCAGTTGATGTATTTAACCATGTCCAAGGTCTCATAGATTAATTTACTATAATCTTGCTTAAAAGAATTTCAATTTGAGGGTAGGCTGGTAGAGATCCTGATGAGTAATAAAATCAAAGTGGGTATACATGTGCCTCACGCTTGGTACTGCTGTCATACAAAAACATAGCTAATAAAAAGGAAAAAAAGGTCTAGTAGATTAATTTACACTAATCTTGCCTAAAAGAATTTCAAATGCCATGGCTATTAAGGATTGCCTCTTGTTTCCTTTTTATTACCAAAATTTTTTACTCCAGCAATACCAAGCATGGGGTGCACATATAACTGATTCTGTTGTATTACTCATCAGGATCTCTACCAGCCTTTCATCAAATTGAAATTCTTTTAGACAGGATTAGAGTAAATTAATCTATGAGAGTTTGGATGTGGTCAAATACATCAATCGAAAGTGTTTGGCCTCCTAAATCCAAAACTGTAATTTTGATCTCAAATTGGTCAAAAGATGATGGAGCTATGAGCTAAAAGTTTGTACTTGAAAAAAAACTCGGAGCTGTTTTATGAGCTGCTATGCCACAACTAAAAAATACATCCATCAAATCCTGTTGGACATTCTTTACAAAACCTTTATTTAGAATGACGCTATAATTTCCAAAGATTCTCTAATATTTATTTCATCCTTATTTTTAATCTAATTGACCAATTAACTGAACATTATGCCAAGTGATAGAATGAGTGATACTCGCCACATGTTCAGCTAAAGATGATCCATTAACTATGTTTATCTATAACATTTTTATGTTCTTCAACTCTAAATTTTAAATTCCTGCAAGTCTGACCAATGTAAGTTAAACTACAGCTACATGAAATTTTATAGATACCACATTTATCATTCCATTTCTACTTTGTCTTTAACTTTCTCACTACAGCCTCGATCGATTCAACCTATATATTGACCTTTAGAGTCTCCATACTGTAACTTCTAATATGTTTTGTTTATTTTCACAAGCTTTTAGTAAGAATTAAGTTATTTTATGTTATTTTTAATGAAGTATTTCTTTGTATTTCTAAACATTTCTCCGCTAATTTATGAAGTCAAAGTGTTGACTGCTCTAAGTGCAAAGTGATTTTCATGTTAAGATTAAAAATACTTTTCTCAAATTTCATTTGCATAGTCTCTAAAACCTCATAAATAAATTTTGAAAATTTTGTTTTTAGTAAAACTTTATATTTTATCTACTCTAACTCTATGTGAGGTTGGTCAATTTGACTGACCCTGTAATCACTATAAAAAAATACAAAATAAATCTAAATTACCCCTTTTTATCTTCCTAAAATGACTTCAACTTGTAACATGAAACTACATGACTATGTAACAAGAGCTGTTAAAAATTGAGCTAAGCTTGTTGATGTGTTTTCCATAGGAATAAAGTTTGCACTGGAAACAAAAGAGACAATTCTCTGTAGAAAAAAACAATATAATTTTGATTATGAGGAACCCACTTTGAGGCTAATAATGGTTGGAGACGACTTGAATGGGTAATGAAGAAAAACTTTAATATAAGTTTAAC